ATCTATCTATCTATCTATCTATCTATCTATCTCTATCAACCTACCCTACCTACCTACTACCTACCTACCTTTTTAATTTATTTAATAAATTGATAAGGCCGCCCATCTCACACAAAGTGACTCTGGACAGCATCTCACACAAAGTGACTCTGGACCTCTATCTCATGAAGAAAAGATTGGACAGCTCTTTTAAAGCCAAGAGATAATTGGGGTATTCAGAGACATAACCAAAAGATCTGCCTCTGCTTCTCCTACGTCTTAAGTTGCTACATCTTAAAAAGTTAAGATAAGATTCCACCTATCTTTTTGTTCTCACTCCTATCTTTTCCATGTGCTGGGAATCGCTTCTCAGGTTCCTTTTCCATTTATAGGACCCTCACTTGAGTTTAATGAAGCACATTCTTCGGTGAGCATACCAATTATTAGCCTGTCTTCTGGCATATGTTAGCCATTTACAAAATTCATCTGTTTACAATAGTTCACTAGCCTTGGAAGCGTGCAAGGCTATTTGTAATTTAAGCCAATTTAGGTTTCAGACCTCCGCCACCACCACTTTTAACAGGTAGAAAGTTGGGAGTGGTACCAGTGCTTGTGCCTCTGCTGAATTGTATGACCAATTAGTGAGAAGGGTTCAGTGGGAAGAAAAATAGAAATGCTTCTGATGCCTGGTTATCAAAGTAAGGCTGGGGCTTCATTATGGACTGGATCTAAGGAAGGAATGATACTACTCTAAGCAAGCAGTTCATCCTGCACATCCCAGTGTTGAATTTCTGAATTAGGTTACACAAAAAAGCACTCGCTTTCCAATTATAAAGTGAACATTGAAATATGGGTGATGCTTAACACACTGATTATACATCAAATGGGTGGATAGTATAGCATAGTGCTTTCTTCAGAGCAATAGAGAATCACAGAGATGAGTCTGGAAAAACTGTGACAGCAATTTTATATGACTTAAGTCCAGATCAGAAAGAAAATGGGATGAACTTCAAATTTGCTCTGCCTTAACACTCTGGGATATATGAGGGAAGGAGGGAAAAATGATATCAGGCTTTCAAGATTTTATTACCACAGTCTATATTGATAAAACATAAGTGCAGCAGTACCTGTGGAGTCTCTTTCTCGACCTGGTCCCCTTTGAAGAGCTGGCCAGAAGTGTAGGCAGGTAACAACAGTCTGGTGCAATAAAAGGTACACAGGGGAGCTAGAGTTTGTGTGGTTGTTTCCTAAACATCAATGCTTTATCTTGTGAGTCGCACCACTATTACTCCTGGTATCATTTTATTAGACTACCCACAAGTGTCCCTACAGCCCCAAAATGTTGCCTGACTCTGGAGTGCAAGACAAATTTGTTCTTTAGGTGCATGTGCAAGCAATGAGAAAATAGGTGTGCTTATTTTAAATGTTGAAAAACATGGTTTTCCTTTTTCTTTTTTCTGCAAAAATCATTTATGGTGGATGGCCCCTACTTTTTCAAAGAAGCACAATCAGATCAAAGGCAAAGGAAACTGAGAGGAGAGAGACAGTGTCGAGAATAGAAAGAAGCAGGGCATCTTTTGTCAAGGTCATGAAAAAAACATTGAAAAAGCCCTAATGCAAGGCTGGACAATTGCTCTCTGTAGCCCAGGGGTCTTCAAACTTGGCCCTTTTATGACTTGTGGACTTCAACTCCCAGAATTCCTCAGCCAGGCACACTGGCTGAGGAATTCTGGGAGTTGAAGTCCATAAGTCATAAAAGGGCCAAGTTTGAAGACCCCTGCTCTAGCCTGATATTACTTTACTGTGATGGACAGCAGCCCTCTTGGGTACTTGGCCAAAGTTTTCCCTCTCAGTTGCTGGGTTCTTTCAAATGGAGGTGCCAAGTTTCTTAGGTCCAGCGAGTATATATCCCATCGCTCTGAGCTACAGAGTTCCTGCGATGTTCTGAGAAATCATAGTTTACTGGATCACTGGCATGTCATTCCTGGCCCTCTTTTGCAAAATTTCCTGGAACAACAGAACCAACGATTTTATTTATTTATTTAAAGTGGCAGCAGTTGCTTGGGTCCCACCCATGGAGGACAGGATCCTATCTGAAGTACAATTCCATGTATGAAATGATCAGAGGAGTATGTTTTAGTCAAGGCCCCCGGTGTAAACCAGTTAAAATAGAGTACCAAAAATGCTTTCGGAGCTTCAGATTTCTCTGCCAACTCTCAAAATTGGGCTATTGGCTCTAAAAAATAAAGGAAAACAAAATTACAGTGACAGAGAGAAAGGAAAAATACGAACATGGAGTGGGATGGTGCTCAGATAAACACTCCAGGGTTTTAAAAAGGCCCCTATCAGCATTAATAAGGACAAGTGCATCAATCAAGATGAGGAATTTCAAAGTTATTTCCATTCCAGAGAAATTGAACAAAAATAATTTGATTTGGGACTGGGAAAGCAGGCTGAAAACAGGCCGAATATTCACCACTGAGGTAATTTGTTCTTTTGTTTGCAAAAATGGCTGTTCTCATGTAGAAACTTAGATTTCTAAGATTCTAATATAGGTTACTTTCAATGAACTCACTTGCCAGGTTGAAGAGTGCCCTTGTTCTAACAGCAAAATTGTCCCTTCCTCTTCCATAGGAACTGCCCAGTGAAAAATGACCCAGCAAATGCAGAGCTTACAACTTTCCCAGACCAAAAAGAATAACCCTCCATCTTCTCCCAATGCTGCCAAGCGTCTCTATCGGAACCTCTCCGAGAAGCTGAAGGGAAGCCACTCATCTTTTGATGAAGTGTATTTCAGAGCCCGGACAGACCGTCTCAGTCTCCGAAAGTCTTCAGTGGTAAGTCTTCGGCATCTCCTGCATTCGTCCATTCGTACAATTTAATCTCATAACCTGTTCATGGTTCATTCCAATAGTTCTTACATTTCTCTCCCCAGGTGATGCCGACTTCCTTCACCAAATTTTTGCCCATGTAATTCTTTGAATACTATATCAGGGAGATGTTGGAGGCATCAGCGAGGATAATTACAGGCCTTTCCAGTAAAAATATGAGGGAAAATTATATTGTTAAGGCTTAACAATAATTTAGCTTCGATGGGTGAGGTACACCACTACCAGATTGGTATATAATAGCCAATATAAGATCTTGTGTGTGTGTGTGTGTGTGTGTGTGTGCATGTGTGTGTGTGAATAACAGGATAACAGAGTTGAAAGGGGAGGTTGTCTAGTCCAACCCCTGCTCAGGCAGGAAACCCTATACCATTGCAGACAAATGGACATATAATCTCTTTTAAAAACCTCCAGTATTGGAACACCCACAACCTCTGGAGTAGGAGCCAGTATTGTCTTTGGGTGATTGTCTAGAGAAGACCCTGAGGTTTTCTTGATCATATTTTTGGAAGTGGTTAGTTCAGTAGTTAGGCTGTCCCGGAGTCACCCAGCTGGCTTCATGCCTAAAGTGGGACTTGTAATCTAATGGTTTGAAGCTGATGCCTTTAGCTACTACAACCTAACTCTCCATATACTGTATACTATGCATCAGGAATAGATAGGCAAGTTTTCCATAGTGGGAATGGTGCGTTTTTAATTTTTAAAAAAATGTCCACCAAGGGCAGAAAGGGTCATGGCAATGGTATTACTGGTTGATTTTTTTAAAACTTATGGGTGAGGATGTTTTAAGTAAGGTAGGTGCATTAAACTTAGCAGAAGTTTACCATATGCACTTCTTTTCCTATTTTAATAAAAGCAAGCAACCCATCAAAATATGTCCCATTGAATTTCTTTGGCATAATCTAATAGACTCTGCCTTTATTGATCTGGGACCATAAATAAATAAATGGATTCTGCTAGCCTCAAAACAGCTCACAGGTTGCCTGCTTTTCCTACACAGGCTTGGCCCAGTTCAGAAAATCCCCAAGTAACCCAACAGAGCAAATGCAGCCATGCCTTTGAAAATATCCATATGCCAGAGTATAGCAGTAAAGACAGCCCCCTGCTTCTAAATATGAATTGCAGTACAGTAATTCATTCAGTGATGAAGATATACCCAGCACAGTCCCCACCTCACAGCACTTACAATGCACAAATGTTTATACCACATTGGCTACTTTGCATCAGCCATAGGAGCACTGCCAGCAGTCTAGCTCAGGGGTCTTCAAACTTGGCCCTTTTATGACTTGTGGACTTCAACTCCCAGAATTCCTCAGCCAGCATGCCTGGCTGAGGAATTCTGGGAGTTGAAGTCCACAAGTCATAAAAGGGCCAAGTTTGAAGACCCCTGAGCTAGCTGCAGTGTCAAATCCAGAGGCATCTTTTTAGGCAAAGCTTTGAACTCATCTCTCTCACACACAAATACCATTTTGGAATTCATCACCCGAGGGAAGGAAGGAGATTCCTAATGCCAGTGTCCATCTCTTCCCTAGGCAGGACAGTAGCAGAGACTACTTATGGCCCTCTTGAGAAAAGGCTTCAAAGTCCCCCAAGAGATTCTGAACTGATTTTGGGTGTGTGTGTGTAAAGAAGGGATCAATTACTACAATAACAGACTTGAATGCAGGACATTATGGGGCAATTGTCCCTGACCTGCCAGATCCCTTCTACATATTGAAATTACATTGCTTGCATAACTTTATAGTATATTATATCATATGGCTTCTGCCTAATGCTATAGCTGCTTGCTTAGCCAATATAAATTCCAATACTGCATAGGGTTTCTCTGTTTACGCTTCATGCTATAGTGCAATTCCTTAATGTTATGGCTCTTCTGAGTGACCGTGATTCTGAGACACCCTACTCCCCCCTTCTCTCCAACACAGCCCTTTGTGGAAGCAGCCAAGATTAGCCGTTTCAGTTTCAAGTAGTGTTTCTATCCCACCCATCCCAATAAATCTTAGTGTGTGGATGAGCTATAATGCTTTATTCATAGTTTTGGTAATTGAACATAGAATAACGGAAGGGACCTTGGAGGTGAATTGTGTGTGGTCAGACACTGATACTTGCTGAGCATTTGTTGACCGGTTGAGTTAATTCTGCTGCAGATATGCCCCTCCCCTGTGGTCACTAAGCACTGCCCTTTGTGACCCTTTTGGCATGGGTTACAAAGGGAACAGGATCCTTGGTTTTCACAGAGGCATCTTGTCTGATCTTGGCAAATGCTGTTCAAGCAAAACAGGTCTTACAGTCTTCTGAAAATTCAGGTGATTGGTTATTAAACAGATATCCAGTGGTCTTTTACTGGAATGTTATAAATTATTGGAATAACTGCATGAAGAGTCATTTTTTCATGCTGGCTGAGAAATTCTGGGAGTTGAAGTCCACAAGTCATAAAAGGGCCAAGTTTGAAGATCCCTGCTGTAGATACTCAATCAGCCTAATCCTAAGACAAAGTATGCATTCAATTTATATTGTTTAACATTGATTGGTGCCATTATGGACAGTATTACATGAGACATTCAACCCCTATCATGTATTTGTAGTTTTAACTAACGTGTGGGAGTAATGCAACATTTTTTTTCTCCCACTTTGTTACTTCAAAGGAAATGATTCCATTTAATTCTTTCCCATTTTTATTAAAACTCCCCCTTTCCCTTGTGATAGGAGAATTCTAAGTTATATTGAAAACTGCAATCCGAGACCGCATTTCTATCATTTCCAATTAACTCCACATACTTTTGGTAAGAACTTCACTTTTAAAAACAGAGTGACATACACAATATACACATATGGCTTATAATGGTTTATAAGACAAACCAGTCAATGTTCACATTAATTTAAATGCAGCCAAAGCTGATTAAAAAAGAGCATGGTGCTGTTTAATTTCAGTATAATAGTGCAGGCAAGTGTTTGCTAGCTAAGTGCCCATTTCTTTTCCTATGAATTTATAGGCTTTTGGGCTATTTTGTGCCTGTTCTGAATCCTGGCAATAAAATTAATCCTAAAACCTATCATAAAAAGGATTCACAGGGAAAGCATATGATTGCCCTATTTATTCGTTTGTTTATTTAGTATCCTGCCTCCATTATTTTTACAAATAAATCAGGGCAGCAAACACCTCAACACACCTTTCCCCCCCTATTTTCCCCACATCAATGACCCTGTGAGGCGGGACTTGAACTCACAGTCTCCCCCTTTCTAGCTTAGTGCCTTAACCACTAGACCAGGGGTAGTCAACCTTGGCTCTTTTATGACTCGTGGACTTCAACTCCCAGAATTCCTGAGCCAGCTAAGCTGGCTCAGGAATTCTGGGAACTGAAGTCCACGAGTCATAAAAGAGCCAAGATTGACTACCCCTGCACTAGACTGAACTGGCTCTCTTGTAGAAAATTAACTTCTTTATACCACCACGTAAGATGGCAGGTGAGGGACCCACATGAAGGAGAAGGCTAGATTAGAATTCTCTGTGGCGTGTAGTTCGTGCTGGCTTTGAAGAGAGAGGGAGGAAGAGGATTTACTGGATTGTCAACTGCAGCCTCTAACTAGGTCAGTTCTGCTTTTATCTGCCTTGTTTCAAGTGGAGGGTTCGCCCCCTCCCCTTAAATAGTTGCTTTTGTGTCCGTTAATTTCTCCAGAGATGCACGTTCTGTGAATTTCACAAACCCATCCAGCAGGAAAGCTCAAGCGTGGCTCAGGCAGCTCTTTGGAGCATTGTGGGAAAGCATATAAATTTGTGGAATAATTGCTTTTGCCCCGATTCTGTAAGAACATATCATGTGGTACATTTCTCACCACAGAATAAAGACTGAACCGTTTTCTTCCCATCCAGGAAAGCCCATTCTATATAAGTAATGGCTTCTGGCCACTCTCAGCCTAACCCACGTAGCTCACAAAACAAGGAAAATCCCCTGCAGGGAGCAAAATCTTTGTCTCCCCCACCCTTTTTGGTGACCCAACCCCAGTTCCCAAAGGGAAAAATTGCTTTGGGGATACAGGGTCGAAATCCTATGACATGATAGCAGTATTCTAGCTTTTGAGGGGCTACCACAAAGAAGAGGGGGTCAACCTAGTCTCCAAAGTACCATAAAGCAAGGCAAGAAACGATGGATGGAAACTAACCAAGGAGAGAAGCAACCTGGAATTAAGGAGAAACTTCCTTAACAGTGAGAACAATTAGGCTTGCCTTCAGATGTTGTGGGTGCTTCAACGCTGGAGGTTTTTAACAAAAGACTGGATAGTCACCTGCCTGAATGGTATAGACTAGAGCAGTGATGGCGAACCTTTTAGAGACCGAGTGCCCAAACTGCAACCCAAAACCCACTTATGTATCATCGTGTGCTGGGTAGGTGTGGCCCATTGGGTGGGCATGGCCCATTGGGTGGGCATGGCTGTGGTGGTAATGGCAGACTGGGTGGGACTAAAAAGTTCAATCAATCAATTCCAACTTTGTGAGATTTTTTTTTTCCCCGCGAGAAGTTGAAATTGATTGATTGATTGAACCTTTTTTTTTCTTTTTGCACATGGCGGCGGAGGCCTAAAGCGAAAAGGTTTTATAAAACGCAGCTAAAGACCTAGGACTGGGGCGACGGTGCGCGTGCCCAGAGAGAGGGCTCTGCGTGCCACCTGTGGCACGCGTGCCATAGGTTCGCCAACACGGGACTAGAGTCTCGAGTCCAGCAGGGGGCTGGACTAGATGATCTCCAAGGTCTCTCCCAGCTTCTATTCTATTCTATTCTATTCTATTCTATTCTATTCTATTCTATTCCCAACATGAAACAAGCTTGCTTCTACTTCTGCTATGGGAATTTTCTTTATCCTTCCCTCTCTTCTAATGCTTTGTTCTCCCTTTTCCAGAGGTTGCCCCAATACTCAGGATCCAATGTTGTAAATGGGAAAAGACCTGCCGGGAAATTGTGCAGTTGCTGGGTCCCGTGGCCAGGGGTGTTTCTTCACTTCTTCTTGCCAGAAGCCTTTTGCTCTTTGTATACTATTTGTAAACCACTCAGTGTCATCTCTAGACGAGATGGCTGACACACAAATTTGAATGAATTAATGAAGACAGAAAGCCCAAACATTTATTCTTTGCGCTGAGTAAAGAGACAACCACAGTTTTAAACAAAAGGGCTCTCAGAAAATAGTGCCTCCAGAACTTGCATACTCACAACAAAGAGCAGGGGTGGGAAATTAATTTTCCCAAGGGGCCACGTGAGAAACCGGGATTATTGTGAAGGGCTGAACCAACAATGCTGTGAAGGTGGATAGGCATACATGCACACACATACGTAAATTGAAAAATAATAGCAGTTAGCTGAGATCTGCTCTGGATGGATATCTCTTAGCACATGGGCTGCAGCATGTTGTCCAAGTTAAGTTTATGAGTGGTCTTTAAAGGCAGGAGAATAGTACCCCTGTTCCTAATAACATATAATATATGCCCAGAGGTAAGCAGGCTTGTTTGGTCAAATATCTCACAATATTTTTGCAACTTTTTTCAAATCTCTCAGCATGCTCAGCTGGATCTTGTTGTTTGCATAATATAGCTCCTGCCATTTAAAAAAAAATTGGCTAGTCTAAAGAAAAGAAGAAATAAGGGAGACATGATAGCAGTATTCCAGTATTTGAGGGGCTGCCACAAAGAAGAGGGGGTCAAATTATTCTCCAAAGCACCAGAGGGCAGGACAAGAAACAATGGCTGAAAACTGATCAAAGAGAGAAGCAACCTGGAATTAAGGAGAAACTTCCTAACAGTGAGGACAATTAACCAGTTGGAACAGCTTGCCTCCAGAAATTGTGGGTGCTCCATCCCTGGAAGTTTTTAAGAAGAGACTGGACAGTCACTTGTCTGAGATGGTGTAGGTTCTCCTGCTTGAGTGGGGGACTGGACTAGAAGACCTCCAAGGTCCCTTCCAGCTCTATTCTATTCTATTCTATTCTATTCTATTCTATTCTATTCTATTCTATTCTATTCTATTCTATTCTATTTATCCCAAAGGGATACTGAAAGGAGAATTTTGTAGGACCCTCTAAGTCACCACTGCTGAGCATTGCTGCTGAGATAGATGTCTTTGTCAGCAAAAACCTTATGGATGATAACATGATTCTGTACCTGTTTCTTTCAAGTGCAATTGCAAGATGATGGGTTGATTTGTTTCCTGTGGTTGTTCTTTTCCATCTGAGCAAGCTGTCTTTTAAAGGGACGTCTAATGGGGTTTTTTTTTCCCCCTGGGCTTAAATACCAAGCTATGTAGTGCAGCTACGTGACGTTGGGCAATGTCAATCCTTCCTCCTTCATATACAGCCATGTTCTGGATGATCTGGAAATATCAGATCACAGGGATGATTGGTGTGACATAAAAAATGTGATGGGTGACGGCACGTTTGGATCCTTGATATGGCACTTACTTCTGCATAGTGAGATTTTCTGGAAATGGCACATCATGTTAGGTATGTTTTCATTAATTGTTGGCGTGTGAACTTCTATTGCAGTGGATCTGTCCAGTGAGTTATAGATTTAATTCCCATAAAGAAGTATCAGATAATGATGGGACATTTCTGAACCTGACTTTCTTTCTCAGGATTATCACAATCCTGATTTATTTCTGGCTCTGATGGCTAAAATATTCTTTCTTTTTTATTTACTTATTTTTATTTTTGCCAACTATACCATAGGACAGGGGTCCTCAACCCCTGGTCTGCGGACCGATACCGGTCCACGGCATGCCAGCAACTGGTCCGCACAAACAAGCAAGGCCCCATCCGTGGGATGCAGGTAGCACACAAAACCACACCTCCTCTGGTCCCTGGAAAAACCTCTCTCCATGGAACTGGTCCCTGGTGCCCAAAAGGTTGGGGACCTCTGCCATAGGATATTAGGGGAAACCTATTAGCATATATTTGTTATTCACCATTGCTGATTATAAGCCCAAACTTTCTGAGATCCAATGTTTTAATGACTGCTATATGTAATTTCATACCTTTGGATTTTTTTCACCTCCAGTGTGAATTATATTCTTTAAGGAACTGATAATTTCTGCTACCAAATTCCAGGGATTAGCTCAGGGATGGAATTCCAGAGGGCAACCCTCTTCTGAAGCTAGTATTTGTTTTAGAGTAAAGTCCTGAGCTCAGTCCATTTGCATTTCAAAAGGAAAATAAACAACTCTACATCTTCAATGCAAAGTGATGGATAGAGTCATATAGAGTTGGATCCGAAATTCTTTTCTCCATTCTCTTCAGTTAAAACCCAATCAACAACAAAATCTCTTAATTAAAAATGAAGCATCATCATTATTATTATTATTTTAACCGAAAGGCTGCTACAATCTGAATCTCAGTACTAAATTCTCTTCAACTGAAATCTATTCTAAAGTTATTCTACACCAACCTTCCCACTTGGGTAGTCTTTTAGATGTGTTGGGATCACAATATCCCAAAGACAATTTGGCTTGAATTCAGAACTGGAGGCTCATCATAGCTGGAAGATGCCAGCCTGAAAAAGGGAGAGGGCTGTTCAAGAGGATACAAATTACTAAATTAGTATCACACCAACACAACACAAGCTGTACCCCTTTTGTATATTTGTAAATCATGCACATGGTAGAGATAGAGCTTAAGGTGAAACCCAGCTTTTAGCATTCTGATGAAGCGCTTGCAGATGTCTCTGCATTTTTCATTCCTTGAAAATCATTATTTCATCATTATTAATAACTATTTGATATTAAAAATATTTAATAATAATAATAATAATAATTAAAAAGCATTCATTCTATTCATTCATTCATTCAAGGCTAGTTCACACATTATAGTAAGCCATAAAATGATTTCTTTGATTTACGGATTCGCTTCGGTAGGTAATACAACATTTTGTATAGATTTTCTTGTGAGAACCACGTACTAAGGAAGACGAATAACTCCGGTAAGTTTATTCCCAGGGTTTCGACAACCCCATATCCTATCTATCTATCTATCTATCTATCTATCTATCTATCTATCTATCTATCTATCTATCTATCTATCTATCTATCTATCTATCATAGATAGCGATAAATATAGATAGATGATTAGATAGAGAAAGAGAGAGAAAGAGGGGGAGAGAGAAATATAGATGATTAGATAGAGAGAGAAAGAGAGATAAATAGATACAGATAGATAGATAGACAGATAGAGACAGAGATGATTAGATAGAGAGAGAAATAAATAAATATAGATAGATAGTGAGAGATAGAGAGAGAAATAGATATAGAATAGATAGATAATTAGAAAGAGAAATAGATATAGATAGATGATTAGAGAGAAAGACGATTAGAGAGAAAGAAAGACAGAGAAGGATAGAAAGATAAATATAGATAGATGATTAGATAGCGAGAGAGATATATAAATAGATATAAATGATTAGATAGATAGATAGACAGACAGACAGACAGACAGACAGACAGACAGACAGACAGATAGATAGATAGATAGATAGATAAATAGATTTTGTGATTTATTTAAGCCATTTAGTCCAACCCTGCTCTTCAGAATTAACTATTACTGACAGAGTAAATAAATTACGCATATTTTCATTTGTTTGAAATATTTATTTACAGCGATTTTCCAGCCTTGCTATTTTTCAAAGGCTAGTCATAATTAAAATCTCAGTAATACATAAAAACCATGATAAATGGTGCAAAGTTACAGCTAATAATTCAGAATTCACCAACCATAACATAGTAACTAAACTCATGTTGCTTTTGAAAGTCACTTGAAAGTAAAGGTGGTCATTTGGAAGCACTTTGAAGGAAGGCATTCAGGGAAGGCTCCAAGTCTGAAGAGCCCTTAATGGAATATCCATGGTCCTCTGGTGTTCACTTCCAATGAATGTTGCTCTGAGCATTATGGGAACCTTATAAATGTCACCCTCTCACTGTTGAGATGCAATTGACTAAACGTATAGCATTGTCAGATTCACTCTCTGAAGTAAACTGTGACTCTACTGTAATTGGCACTTACTGTGGCTTTAGAAAATGGTGGGAAGGGGAAGGGGAAGTGGAAGGAAAGTGAGTGAGTGAGTGAG